ACGTTCTATACTTTTTTTTTTTTTTTTTTTTTGGTGGTGGTGGTGGTAGTTGTTCTTTCATCCTTCTCCTTAGTGCCCCAAATGGCTTCTTTTGGAAGTGAAAGATTGGTGAGGAAGTGAGCAGGCAAACTGTGCTGGGCACCTGTGCGTGGTGAATTCACTGGTTCCATTTTTACCTTGCAGGCAGCGATGTTCAGATAACCACCCTGAACATCCCTTCTGGTTAGCGAGTGCTGAGCCTTGAGGCTTCCACAGCTTCAGGAGGGTAATGTCATCATCCTGTTCTGCTTCACACAGCAAGTAACCTTGAGAAGGAGGGGGTCACAGGGGAGAGAGTGCAAGTTACATACTAAGTTATTTGGCTAGATTCTCTTTGGGGAGGGAGGAGGGGAAAGAATCCCTCCAAAAGCAGAGCCCTGCAACTCTTTTACTGCTTGGCATGCTTCAGTAGTATGAGCATCTCTGCTTTATTCATTTCCCCCAAAATATGTGATATTATAACACTTAGCTTTCTGGTATACATATCTCTATAATAAGTCTGTGAACACTCCTGTTAAATTCTTGCTGTTAAGAAATTTCAGTGTAAAAATAGGTGCCCTGGGTAAGGCAGAAGAGGACAATTCTGAAATTTAAAACCTACAGTTGTAGGCGTTATTGCCAGTGTCATCTGTTCTGATTTTTTATCTTATTTTTTAAATAAAGTTTTAAGTAAAATCTTGCCATTCAAATATCCAAATATCATTTCCTTTTTTTATTCTTCACTCTTGACAGTGACACTGTTGGGGTGGTGGTGGGACAGGCAGTGATTCACTTCTGTACCCCATTTTGGTGTTCGCAAACTCTCTTAATTCCTGAATACTGTTGTGAAACTTCTTAAATGTAAGTTAAAAACAAACCAAGCTAAGTCAGATTTAGGCATGTTGCCTTTTTATTAATAAATATCTTCAGTGCAGTAGCATCATAAATGGCTTACGTGTAATGCATGTATCCTTTTTAGACACAACATAAGAGTTTGTTAATGCTTTTATCTTTAACAGGGGAAATAAATTAGACCTGGATTTTTTTTGAGAACTCTTTGTACATATGTGCATATAAGATATTCATAGAAATTGTGCTTGCAAGCTTGAGGAAGTGGAAAAAACTCTTTCGTTCTACAGCTTGTAATTACAAATGTTGATTCCTTTTACTGTATATTAGGCATGAGCTTTGCCTAATCCTCCTTCATTTTTTTTCTCTGATATGTTGTAAACAGAAAGAACTCTCAATTCTTTGTGGTTCTTGGTGTTTTGCATCTTTTATTGTATTATATAAAATGCAATAAATCTTTCTAAACAGCAGCAAATAATCTGTTACATATGTGGATTAGGATAGGAAAGCAGACTGGTTTATTCTAAGGTGCCAGTTTTTGTTTTTTTAATGAGGTGTGCTTCATCAGAGTATTTATAAACTACTTAGTAGCTCTCATAACAAGCACAAAAATTAAAATGCAAGTTTTGGGATGCTTTTCCCTTTCTTAGTTTGGTGTGAACCCTCTTGGTGTGAGGCCCAAGAGAGGAAACTTACGAAAGTTGTAGTTTCCACTTTTCAGGGGAACTGCCCTGAGTAGTCAGTTGCTGCAATAAACTGGAATAGTTGACACATACCTCTAGGAGTAACTTGAGGAAACAGTCTGCAAAGAATAGAAAGAATAAGTGTGGTGGAATTGTGTTTTATACTTAAACAGTTATTTTTTGAGTATACATTTTTGCAAGACAAGCAGGCTTATGCAAAGAACTGAATGCTTTTTTAAAAAAAAATAAATTGTTATATGCAGTAATATTTTGGAACAGGTTTTGGTTTGGTTATTGCAGCATTCAGTGAAAAGGACAGTATTTGCTCTGCTGGAGAAACCCAGAAGGAAACACAGAGACTGAGCGCTGGAGAAACAAAGGTGATATTTTATTTACTTTTATTTGTAAGATGGAGGGAGGAAGGAGATCCCAGAAAGAAACAGACTCAGA